CATGGCTAATTAGACATTGATGAGCATTTTTTTGAAATATCATTAATCAACAAATGCTTTGATATTTTTAATGACATGCTTTTTCTTTTAATCAATCATCTAATTAGCCCAAGTTATTGGCCAAATTTGAGTCAGTGATATTAACAAAAAATTTACAAAATATAAAGATGCCATAGATATACATATTTAATGTATTTTACATTACCACCAGGCACAATTCTTCATGAAATTATATATTCATTGCATATAATAAACTTGCACTAATTTATTACATTATAAATTCAAACAATTTAAAAATGTTGTCATCAACGGGAATAATATTTTAAAACTCAAACCTTTATAAACTGCATAGTTATAATAGTTTGATATTTTTTTTTGAAACAAGTATCTCTTTAATCTCCTACCTTTTGTAAGCCAATTTCATCAATCATAGTTGTAGGAACATTTATATTCCAAATTCTTGAGTTTATTTTTCTTACTTGTTTTGGCTATCAAACACAAATTAAGTTGCACATTAAACTATTTCTTTGTGATTCACACAACTCAATTTTAAAAGCCACTGTATTGTCCAACTATGGATATAAAATTATTGTTTTGTGTTAATTGTTGAGACTTTTCCTTTTTTTTGTTAAATTTCTAATTTCTTTTCCCAGTGATATAGAATCATAAATTACATACTTGATATATGTAGCAATAAACATTTCTTTCCTTGGCTTGCAAACAAAGTTGAATAATATGAGGCTTAAGTTGATAAAAAAATTCATTCCCATGCATATTCAAGCCACACCTCTCATGTTGATTAAATTTCAGTGATAAATCATAATTTTATTATTTGCTTCTATCAATAGCCTTTAATCAAAATTTCTCATAAAAATGTGAAAATAAAACCTTAAGATCGTTAGAACTTGGGGTTTAGAAAAATCACGAGAAATTGAAGAAAGGCTTCAAGGCATGTAAAGGTGCCACTTTCCTTAAAGTTTTATTCACCCCCATCACTTGATTAATTGGTATGCAAAAAAGTTATTGACGATAAAGCTCGAAGATACAATAAAGTCCAATGATTGACAAAATATAATAAGGCTATAAAAAAAATTCATAACCAAAGCTAGCAAGTACTCTATCTCTATTTTATGCTCATGACCATTCAATGCTATGATCAAGAAAATTCACATATAACATACCATAAAATTATGAATCATAAATTAAATAATTTAATTTAAAATAAAAAAAATTTAAAAGAATAGTCAATAAAAAAAGCAAAATTTAATGAGACTCAATGTCTTTTATGAATTATTAATCATCAATTCTTTTAGTAGAATATAAAAACTAGAAAAATAATAATAAGAAACTTATCTTATATGTTATTTCACTAAGAAACTATTTGGATAATTGAAAATTTCCGTGTTTGTTTCAAAAGTTGATTTTGTCAACTTTGTCAATTTCTTTTCCTCGTATATTCTTCATACAAAATCTAAATTTCATAATTATCTTTAAATTATTAGAATAAATAAATAAAAGAATAGAAATAATATAAAAAATTTTAGCTTTAAGGTGTGAAGAATAATTTTTTAAAGGTAATTATGTTTTTAAAATACAATAAAGCCTCAAAACTCTTTAAGTAGAAGTAGTGAAAATGTTTATACTAAAAGATTTATTTATAATGAATGAACAGATATAAACTTCGATTCAAATTATTATAATATTTTATATAATCATTAACTTTTGTATAATCATAATTTTTATAAATAATAATTTATTTATATTAAAATAATTATGACCATTTGTCATATAATAATTATTTCTGTTCAAACATAATTATTTAAAATATAAATAAAATTAATATAAAAATTAATTTTATTCATTAATAATTAAAATTTTCTATCCAATTTAAGATGCACACATTCTAACTACTAACATATATATACATATATATATATATATAAATATCCCGAAGAAAACTACAAAACCCTGTACAGATTCATTCAAAATAGAGGAAATTAAACAAAAAAATTAAGAGTAATTAAGGGCTAAACACCATCGATCTTTATAAATTTTTTTAAATTTTAATTTTTCATTAAAAGAGATGCAGCGAAAGAAGATACAAAAGAATATAATACTATAGACCGAAGCTCCATTTCGGAGTAATATTGAGAAAATCTGGTTTTCCAAAGTTAGCAAAAATGATGCTCAACTTTTAAAAGTGGACAAACAAACCATAGCAATTAGATGAAGTCGTCAAGCCTTGATTATCATCAGAGCAAATTAAGTTATGGTTTCAACTAATAAAAGCATTCCAAACCCAGAAAAAAAAAAAAAAAAAAACCATTTTATCTCTAAATGGTTAAAAAAAATGCATGGCATCTTTATTAACCAAAAGCACATGCAAATAGAAATTTTACATCGTTCAAATAAAAGCTTCTTTATTAACTAATTTTTTATTTAATGATATTTAATACTCAAATATACCTTTAAATTTTTTGAAAGATTTAATTTTAATTATTGAAAAAGACTATTATTTTATTTACAGTAATATATATCTTTTTTAACATCAATAAAATAAATAAACATCAAAGTATGTCTAATATAAATTTAGATCTACTATCTTAAATAGAATGAAACCAAGTAATTTCAAAGTTTATGTAATAAATAAAAATATAAATAAAAAGAAATAATATAATGTTTTTATGAACTTTGGTAAAAAATTTTAATTTCGTAAATTTTTTAAAAGACTAAAGGAAAAATATAAAATTTCTAATATTTTTAAATAAAATGTTATTCACATTTGAAAAATACTTGAAATTTGTTCAAATACAACATGATTTCCCCCATTAATCAATAATATTTTTTTTTTTTTTGTAGATGTTACAATGTTTTATGTTATCTTCATTCTTGATTATAATGAAATTTCTTTTCGCAACCTAAACCGTTAATTTTTTAGAATGGAAAGAGTAATAGAGAAATTTAAGTTAAAATTAGTTTTAGATGAAATTGAAAGTATCACATAGCATACAGAATTAAGCCTAAAATGCTGAAAATAGAGGGGTGTGGTGCGACAGGCTACAATAGAAAAATAAAAGGCAAACAAAGTGCAAAGGTATTATTAACCTCGTAATTCGTATTTTTTATTATATTTTATATCATATTTGATATGAGTAATGATATAAATTATTAAAATATAAATATAAATTATAAAACGTATTTAAATTTTAAACACAAACATAACATATTTAATATACGTATAATATATGATATGATACGATTAATACATATATAATTAATTTTTTTAAATATAATATAAATAAACATGAATAATACGAATATATACGAATAAATACGATTAATACAGATATACACGAATAAAAACAATCAACATAAATATACAAAAAAACATGATTAAAATAATAATTAATTATAAACTATTCATCATTTACAGCTTAATAAATTTGATATATTAATAATATAAAAAAATATTTACATATTAAAAAAATAAAAATTTCAATACTCATTTACTATGTATTTAATATTTTTTATTTAAATTTTAATTTATATTACGTGATTGTTTTAATTTTTAGTATCAAATTTAAAATGATAGATTATTAGAAATTAAAAATAAAATAATAATATATAAAATTAATATTAATATTTATATTATTAATATAAAAAATAATTTTATAATAATTATTGAATAAATATCATAATTAAATATTTAAAATAATTTTTATATAAAATTAAATAATTAATTAAATATCATAATTAAAAAATTAAAAATTAAAATAATTTTTAATATTTATATTAAATTAAAATAAATATAAAAATATATTAACCATATATTCATATAATAAATTAAATTAAATATATTATTTATTTCATATTACATATTTAAATAAATCAAATATAAACAACACAATTTATATCAATATAAAACACATTTTAATATCAATTTTAAAATTACATAAATTATATCATGTCAATTTATATCGATTCAAACATATTTTCTTAAAATACGTATATAAATTTTTTTATCATTTTCATGTTACAATCTAAAATTGTCGGATCTATAGCAACAGCACGGATCAGTCATGTACAGCCATCTGTCTATCCACAAGAACCATTCTCTTTATCCATTGGTCTGTATCTTCAATGTTCCTCATCAAAAAACAATTAAAGACGTAGTTGTACCATCTATGCAGAGAGACGCTTCCATCCATCAATAAGAGAGTAAATGAAGCTGACCAGAAAGAGAAACAAAAGAGAGGACAGAAAATACGCCTTGAGCTGGCGATGGTTTGGGGCAGAGATACAGTAGGAAAGGCTCGGTGCTAAACAAGAACTCAATTAAGTAGGGTGAGTAAATAACAATCGATTTGATTTAAAAAAATTAATAATCTATTTAATTAATTTTTATTTAATAAATAATTTAGATGGTTTGAGACAGAGATACAATAAGAAAGGCTCGGTGATAAACAAAACCTTAATTAAAAAAAGTGGATAAATAATTAATTCAACCGATTTGATTTAAAAAATTAATAATTAATTTAATTAATTTTTATTTAATAAATAATTTAATCGATCAAATATTATTAAATAATTAATTATAATTAAACTGATATTTAATTCAATTAATTTAATTAAATAATCAATTTTTTTATTATTCTTTTAAATAATTATTTAATCACAAATTTAATTCAATAAAATTTAAATTCTAATATCATATAAATTAAATTACTAAAAAATTTAATAATTTTAACAATATTTTATAAAAAAGATAAATAAAAATATTTATCTTAATTTTTTTTATTTTTAATTATTAAAATATCAATTAATTCAATATTATCAACTTTATGCGATTTTCAATTTTAAAAATTAAAAATCAATCGAATTAATTAATTTAACCGATTTAAAAATTAATTATAATTAAAATAAAAAAAATCAAATCGATTTAATCGTCACTCGATTTGATTTGAATTCACTCGTATTTGATTTTTGCTCACCTCACACTGGATGGTGCAGACACTTCTAAGAACAAAAACAGCCGTTAATGGACACTGACTTAGGTTGCAGTAAACAAAGATTATAATGTATTCATTCAGCACTTCATCACTTCATCACTTCATCACTTCATCACTTCATCACAGTGTACATGTAGAAGCAGTAGTAGACTAGTGGCAGTAAAAATCAGAAAGAGATATTGCTTCAGCGTTGGGGTTAAAATATTGTTCAGGCCACATCAGCAACTATTCTTTCCGCCCTTTATTTAATCATGGCCAACACTGCCACCGTTTGGCCTTTGACAGCTGCCTTTTCTGAGGGCTTCTTCTTGGTGGTCAACGGTACCATCAGAATCACAGTAGTTTAAATGATTGGTATCGTTGGCATTATTTTCTTGAGCCGAATTTGCAACACCACCATCGTCAAACAGATTTGCATTGCAACCATCATAAACACTATGATCATCATCTTCTTCTTCAGTGGCTTTGGCTGAGGGACCACTTATGATGAACTGCTGCTTTTGACCAACTACAGCAAGTGGCTCAGTCAGTTGTTGCCCGTCTCGAGGCGGCGAAAACACTACAGGAAGATAATGATCCATTTCGCATGGGAATTTCGAGTTTCTAAAATGCTCTTTCAACGCTTCCAACCCCTATGTTTAATCGGTTAACAAATATATATTGCGATAAAATCAGACCCGTATGATACATAAAAGCTCATGGTAAAAAAAAATGTAGCCAGAGGGAAAAAAAATTAGAAAACCTGAACTCTGGCATAAGTGACTTCACAGATTTTCCTGGAGTTGAAAACTTCCCAATGTTGATGATGAAAGGCCTTGTAAAGTCTCCATGTTGCCTGTGGAGATGTCATGTTCACAAATCCATATCCAACATTACACTTGTTGCTGTTTTTTTAATAACAATTCAATGCAAATGTGTTAGTGAATCATAGAATAATCTTCAATTTTAAATTTTCTTAATACTACAACTATGAATTCCGAATATACAAATTGAGAAAAAGGAATGGAACGGAAAAGAAAATTACTTAAAATCAATGGGAAGGTAGACAAAATCATAAGAAGATAAAAGCTGATCATCCCCAGCAGCAATTTGCTCGTTGCAGTGAATACAGTGATCATCCAGCATGTTCAACAACAATTTCTGACTGCAACATGCCAAATTCAAACGCCACGTACTCAACAAGACACCAAAATTGCAATCATTTCATTTTTCTATTCAAGTGGTAGTTAGTAAACAGACTAACCTATACTTGTTGGGTATGTTCTTGATCATGACAGTGGTCCTAGAATCTTTACAATTAGATTCATCCATGGCATCTTCACTTATCAGGAATCGAGTATCAAACTTCTTTGCTTGTCTAACTTTCCATGGCCTACCCTTACACAGCTGCTGCTTACTCCCATTGCTACTATTCACCGTCGATTGGTTGTTTTCGTTCTTCTTCGCAGTCTTCTTTGGACCTCCACCACCAACCTTCTCTCCAACCACTGATGTTTCAGCGACCGAACTCTTGCTATTGCTATTCCCATTAGGGTTTCCCTTACTAGAACTACACACTTTCTTCGTCGGTGATTGGCTTCGAGCAAGAAAAGAACAAGGAAGGATGTTCGGAGAACATCTACCAGAGAATTTGCAAGCCAAAGACTGTGGTGGAGGCAGCGGCAGGGGAGGAGAAGATGGGACCTCCGCACTTCTTGTTTGGAGATTATATTTATTGGTCAATGAAATATTATCAGTGCAAGCTGTGAATGCGTTAACATTGTTAGCATTGAAGAACCTCTTGCTATATCCTCCAGGTCGACTAAATTCAATTACAACTTGCTTCCCATTAATTTCTTTTCCATTCATTTCTCTTAAAGCCTTAGCCGCATCTCTTACATCATAAAACTCCACAAACTTCTGGTGTTTCTTCAATGGTGTTTCTCTCAGTTCTTTCACGGGGCCTTACAACAAAATTACCAAAAAAAAAAAATAATAATAAAGAAAGGAGTAAATGAAACCATATCCATAAATATGAAAAAAGCTGTTTCTCTTTTTTTGTAGTGAAAGGCACTAACAATTGCAAGAGGAAAAACAAAAGACAGATAGAGACCCATCAGATTGAACGACAAAATACCAAAGAAAACAAGACATCCTACGCCCTTTTTACCTCTCTTTTTCAGACAGGAAAAAAAAATATGAGAAAGCAAATACTTACCATAAACTTGGAAAATGTCTTTAAGTTTAGAAGGCGAAACGCCGGTGTCCAAATTGAAAACCACAACAGTTCCTTGATTATTCCCGTCAGGAAGAGCATTACTTGCCGGAATAATAAAGTGGGCCCAAACAGCTCTCCCCGCTATGAGTCCACGCGCAGGAGTCGGCAGCCGAGAACACGCGTTGAGCTGTCCTGGTTCACACCCGGTAGCAGCTGCAACATACTGGTTGCGAACCCTGGTTTGTTGCATGTGTTGCTCTCGTATTTCCTTCAACGCTCTCTCCGCATGTCTCAGATCGTAGAAATGAACGGTCACGATTCCTTCTCGGATCCTTTCCATCTGGACCCCACGTACTTCCCCAAACACTTCTAGTTCTTTCCTCACCTTAGACTCGCTCACATCGCATGGAACAAACGTCAACACTAAAGCCCTCGTCGCCGCCGTCGTCGAAAGCGTCAGTGGCGGCTGCGGTACAACCAACATGGAAGTTGTAACGTACGCCGTTGGTGCCGAAGCAGGTACAGCTACGGCAGTATGGAACTCTGATACGCCGCCATCGAAAAACGGAACCGTTGGCGGTGCAGCATAGGGGTAGTAAAATTGAAGTGGTCCGAAGAGAGGAATTTGCGGTTGGCAAACGGTGTTTTTGGCCGGCCAAAATTCTTGTGCTGATGGGTCTAGATTTCCAGGGAACTGGACCGGACAGGATTCCCCCATGGCTGTTTCAGGGCTGAAAACCAGTACTCAAAACTCAAAAAAAAAAAAAAATCTTTTCTTCGGCTTTGATAATAAAAATACCTGAGAATTTGTCTATAGCTGTTTTCTGAGTTCAGTTTGGGAAGTTAAAAACCCGAGAAAACATTTTCTTTGTTTTTATTCTTTTGCTGTTTTCCATCTCCGAAGTCTCCAGTCTTCAAAGTTCAAAGTGGCTGTGTAAAACTAAAAGGAGAGAATGGGAAGGTTATGGTTTTTCCTTTCCTTTCCTTTCCTGCCCTTTTCGCTATACTTCCTTTCCAGTACAAAGGTTGCCAAAAATGTCTCAAGGAAAAGATGTACTTACAGTGTAGACCCTTTTCTGAGTTTTTCCCTGATCTTTCGTCCTTGTGATTTGGGGTGATGAAGAATATGGGCCGTTCACGTGGCGATAGAGACGAATGTGTGTGAATTGCCAAAAACCGGAGGGGGTTGAGTAATAATTGCCCTGGTGCATGCTACTTTTTCATGTCTGGTGTTTTGACTACTCTTCTGCTTTATTTATGCACCCTTATTAATTCTTTTGTCCGACTTCTCGACGGACCTTTTGTTCTAATCCCATTGCTACAATTCCCCGAACTTTCATTTTTGTTTACTACTGCTATATTTTTATATATTTAAAATATACGTTGATGCATAAATTTGGTAATTTTTATATTTATATAAAATTTATTTTATATTAAATATGTATAAAATATAAATTTTATTATGTTATATTTTATATTAATGTATTAAATATAAAATATTTTTTTTATTTTTTAAATTTATATAATTTATATTTAAATTTTAAATCATATTATTTTTATATTTTATATATATACACATACGAAAGAATAATTGGATTTTATAATTTATTTTAATAATTTTATTTTTTTTAAAATAACTCAATATAAATAATAAATTCATGCTTGTAACTTACAGTTAACTCTTCGCTTAGTAACAGTATGTGTGTGTATATATAAAGTAAAAATTAATGGTAAGAAAAAATTAAAAAAATAAAAAATTAATTTAAAATTATAATATTTGATTTGGTTTGAATTTTTTTATTTAATTTAAATAATTATCAGATATTAAATATATATATTAAGTTTGAATTTTAAATTAAAATAGAAAAAATATGTAATTGAATTAAATTATACATATTTATTAATTTTTATATATTTGTTGAATTTTTATAAAATAAAAATAATTATTTTATATATAAATTTATTTAAATATATTAAATATTTTATTAAAATAATATATAAAAAATTAAAAAATTAAATTTTAAAAATTAATTAATTGAATTGATAAAATTTAATTCGAATCGAATTGATTTTTAAAAAAATTACTGTTAAATTGATTTTTTTTTTTTTTAAGAGTTGAGCTAGTATGGTAACATGGAAGTTGGAAAGTGGAATCATCAGTTTTAATCATTCCATTAAATTTTTTGGGAAAGTTTGAGTGAAGTCTCTGCGTGTAATTACCAAATATATACGAATTCATTGAAGGGTAAAATAAATGAATGAACAAAAGAGAGAATGTGACAAGAAAACATTCAAATGAAGTGGGACACTCCATCACCTTAATTCGTTTTCTAAGAAAAAAAAAAAAAAAAAACTCCAAGTCTCATTTAATTATAATCTATGTGAGTTTGATTTTTTATTTAAAAAATTCCAAATAATAAGTTTTTTTTTAAATTAAAATAAATAAATTATTTGATTTTATCATAATAAAATATATATAATTTAAAATAAATAATTATAAATTATATATTTAAAATAATTTCATTAAATAATCACTAATAAAATTTGAATTCAAAATTTTTTATAAAAAAAATGAATATTAATTAATTTTAGTAATTGGCTTCATGATGATTATGAGTTAATGGAAACAGAGTAAAAAGCCTAAAGATATTGGTTTGCGTGATATTTTAAGTATATAAAATTAAGGAATTATTTTTTTAATTAATAAAAATAATATTAAATTAAAAGATAATATTTTAATTATTTTTTATATAAAATATTATAATTTAAAAATAAAAAATTATGATACTAAAATTTAAATTTAATTCAATCTAAAATTGAAAAATAGTTTCATTTCAAGCCCAGGTCGGTCTTAAAATTAATGCGTAGATTAGATATAGGCATTGACTGATGCAATTACCATTCCATTTGGTGATTGATGAAAGTGGTCTTTAAAGAAAAAGTTGCACCTGATAAATTGAAATGACGGCATGGATCAGAAAACAGATCCAACACTCAATGCAAATCAAATCTTTCACAATATCAACATTTCAATCAAATCTCTGCAACAATCAAATTGATTGCTAAAAATAATTTTTAAGTTAAAAATTGTTTTATTTAATTTTAATATTAAATAAAAAATATTATTTTTAATTTAAAACATAAGTTATAAATCAAATCAAAACATCCAAAAAATTATTTTAAGATAAAAATTATTATATTATTTTTATATTTTTTAGTATTTTATTAGATACATATTTTTAAATATTTTAATTACTCATAATATTTTTTATAATAATATTAAAGTTTAAAATTTCTAATTATATTTTTTACCATAATTTTTAAACATACTTTTTTTATCTAAATTTTTTTAACCACAACAATAATATTAGACTAATCCTAAAAATATCCTTTTTTTCAAAAAAAATTTTACCATATTTGCTTGATATGTAAATAAATAAATAAATTTTCTCTCTATATTTAATTAAAAAATAAAATCCATGAATTTTATGAAAATTTAGTTCAGAAAATTTTAATTTTTGTAAAAAATATTTTAAAAATAAAATTTTAAATGCTTTAAACTAATTGATATAAAAAAAAATTTAGAACCGTTGAAGAAATTAAACTATGGTAGTAAATTCACAAGCCGTTGCTCAGATCTTTGCCAGCACACGTGCTAAGTAATTAAAAAAAAAAAATCTAAGGGGTGTTGGGTTCCATACTCGAACATGAGGATTTCCGATGGCAACCTTAATCCTTGTGTATTTTAATTTTGTCTTTGGTTACTTTGCACGCTCTTGTCCCCCCTTCCACGTCCTCTCTTTGTCACTTCAACAATATCTTTGTTCTCTTCAACAACGTATCATTTTCAAAACCCTATTTCTTTGATATGGATTTTTCACCCCTTTCCATGTATTTGCTTTTGTTTGAATGTTGCTCCAAAATCATCCATCATTGATGTTTTATTTTTGTTTTTTTTTTTTTGGAATATATTCATGATCAATATTAAACTTTTACATTTGTCTAATATTAAAGAAAATATTTACCATTATAATTTTTTTCACCTTCATATAGAAATCAAAATTTCACATTAATTTATATTTTTATTTATTAATAATTGGATTCGAATATCCTCTAATTTTAATATAAAAAATTTTAATGATATGTTAATTATATAAATGCATAACAAATATAATAGTAATAAAATTATTGTATTTATTTACTCAATTAACAAGGTCAATTCTCATGATTATACAGTTAATACATGTTCGCTTATCACGTCATCATAAAAAATAATTGGCATCTAAACTTTTTGTCATAAAACGAGCTCATCCCCGTTAAAGAGGTATTCACTCAACTACTTATATTAACTTCCATCGAAGCATTACTTCATATTAAACCAACTAGCTTTCAATTTGTTTGATATTATTAAAAACAGTCTATATTTATTTGATATCATTAAATACAACTCACATTTACGTGATTTTTTCTTAAACTTTACATGAATTTTTCAACGATTATTTTTTTTTTTAATTATATCACCATTCTTCTTCTCGTATATAAAATAAAAATAAGGCTCATATACTATATGAATTAACAATCCTTCCTTTTTAAGCTTTGTAAATACTTTTACAATTGACCTTTTTCCTCACCTTAATCCTATATCCTGAATTCATTTAAACGTTGATGCATGTCCCAGTGCACCACCTTTGGTGCCCATTAATCGTGGTTTTCTGTTACAAGACATCTTCTATACGATTTCCAAATCTCCTTCCTTCCTGCCGACACCCAAAAGCCATCAACAAATACGTTAGCTTGTTACATCGTTTAAGGTTGCATTTAGATTCCATCTCACATTTGGTGTGATGGAACCATTTTTTTTTTCTAACTAGAAAGAGAATGATTCGATGGTTGGATCATAGGATAATTGATAGCACTACCTTAGATAGTAGATTAACTTCGAGTAAAATTGAAACTATAAATTTTTTTAATTATGATAATTAATTATTTTTATTGGATAATATTATCATATCCATTTCAGTGGCAGCACTATTATGCATGTAACAAAAGATATATTCACAACACTAATTTTAATCATATCACTATAACATTTAATCTCAATAACTTATACTAACTAATCTTATGGTTATTATTGTTTTCAATTTTAGTGGAACTAATTTAATCTAACCGTTCATTCAAGTAGATGGCAAGTTGATTTAATAATTAATGAGGTAGCTTAGAAGCTTTGAAATGGGGTATGTTTCCCATTGTTGCTACACGATTCATGGGCCACTAGGTGTTGTATGTAAATGGGGAGTAAAAGGGCCCTTTTTAAGGGCATAAAAAGCAAGTGAAAGGGATGTTTCTTTCTTTTGCTGCCCAGACATTCTATCTGCAAGATGTCACAAAAAATCTCATACAAAAGAAGAAAATATGTAAGCCAAGAAATTCTTGATTTTCATATTTGAGTTAATGTGAGTTCAAAGTTTAAAAGACTCAAAAGAAAATAAAAGTGGATATAAATTTTTTTTATAATACAAAGGTATTTTCAATCTTTCCTTCTTTGGGAGCTCTTAAATCTCAAAATATTTTTTATAATGATAGAATTTTGATTGACAAAGAAATAAAATTTTCACTTTACCAATTACGGCAACTTTGTGGGTAAAATTGGGCGCTCTCTCATACAAAGAAAGGCTGGAAATGAAGTGCATGTGGAACTAGAGTTCGATTGGCTAAGGTTTAAGTCGTACGTAGGAATAGGATTGCCTATTGGCCTGGCCTGTTTATGTGTATGTACATAGGAAATGGAAGTGAATGTGAAGGGAATATATTTCAGCGTAGACAAGGGGACCATAGGACCATCCTCATCTGCTCCCCACCATGTTACCAGGAATCTTGTTCTTGCCTACATAACTCCATCTTCTAGTTCTTAATGTGGGTGGCCTCAAAAGGGCTTAAAACCCACCATGCTACATTGCTGTTTGCTGCAAGAGTGCTAGTGCTTTTGCTAAATAATGCTGCAAATTGTTGTTATCAATGGCATCGGCAATGGAGTCCTTGCCTTTGCCCCCCAACTAAAACCTTGGCGTGCGTGTGTGCAATAAGAAGCTTGTTATGCCGGGGCAGAACTTCCATCCTCTTCCTTACATGCTGTTCCTAAGGCTCCCTAATAAACTTTTGACACCTGTATAAAGGCTTAGACTGCACATAACACCGTTAAATCATTTCTTTTTCTTTTGTTGAAAGGCTGAGTTTTATCAGTCAAGCAACAAATAACAAATCACGATGCATGATTGATGGGTTCTTAAGAAATTTGCCATAGACAGAACATATTTGGTTTATGGGAGTTGTAATATCTGGCATTTTAGTTGTGAATTGTGATAGAGGAAGTTTTCTGTTTTGCAATGATAGAGAAAGATCTTGGCTTTTAATTGTTACAAATGAGAAATGAAGAGTTTAGAACTGGGTTTTTAGCTATTTCAGAGTAAGATACAAAGATAAAGAGCTTTCAGATGTAAATAGTAAAAAAATTAAAATTAAAATATACTATTGGTCGCTATTTATATTTTTAAAATATTTTTTAAAATTAACGTCTGTTTCGCAATAATAAAAATTTGATTTTTCTTAAATAAAATTTTTGTTTGGAGTCTTATAAACAAAAAAATAAATTGAAAGAACTTATTCTTCTTATAAAATCTGACTCAGGTTGACTCCAAATGAATTAAGATCCAAAATAGTTATCAAATATCGAAGGATCTCATACCAAAAAATATGTACCTCAAATTATTAAAATTAAAGTAAATATTTTTTAACAACTAACTTATTGTTTCTAACAACGTGTTGATATGAAAGTACTATATGACTTGAGTATCATATAATATTATCATATCATCTGATACATTAAGAGGCATTATTAACATGTTATTGTAAATTTTGAGTATGCCATGTAACAATTAATAGTTGATATAATAAATGTCATGCCAAGGCGTTATTAAAAATTATTTGGACACTTAATCAAATTTTAAAGACTAAAATAAAAAAATTTTAATAGTTAAATGATCATTTTCAATATATAATTATAATTAAAATTAAAATAATAAAAAAACCTTTAAACTTTATTACTTTATTTAAATAGGTCTTTATACTTTCATTACATCCAAGTAATCTATTAACCTTTAATTTATATTTAAATAAGTTTTTAACATAATTCATGTAATACATCAACTTCTCACAATCACAAATGTCTTAGTAAAATTTTTACTTATATAAAGAGTCAAAATTTACATGATTAAAGAGAAATAGAAAAAAATTATAATAATTAATTTAAAATAAATTTCTCAAAACAAATTTTTTAGTAAAATTTTTGCTTATATAAAGAGTCAATATTTACTCGATTAAAGAGAAGTAGAAAAAAATTATAATAATTAATTTAAAATAAATACAAATTAAAGTATAAAAACTTATTTAAATGCAATAAATATAAAAGTTTATTTTAATAAAGTGTTAAAGTTCAAGTACTTTTTTAATATTTGAGCTTATAATTAAATGATCAATTATATATTTTACTCAGTGAGAAAGATATACGTTTGGATACAAATTTAACGAAAATGGTTAAGTGAATTGTAGTAAGAAAAGAAATTACTATTAAAGATATTAAATTAAAATGTATATATAATAAAAATTTTAAATTATATAAAATTTAGAAAATTAATAAATAATTTAAAAATTATTAAACTATTTTACATCAAATAATAGTTTTGATAACAAATAATTAAAATTTATTTATTTATTATATATTACTATATTTTACTTATTTATTTATTATTTTTATAATTAAAATTTAAGGATAACAAAGAAAAAAAAAAGTTAAAAGCCCCAGTGTGATGAAACAACTGGAGCAAGGATGGACAGTGGCTCAACGTAATCAATTGTGCCATTATCCACCTTCGTTTGGATTTCACTGCTACATTTGATGTTATTTCCCGTAACGATTGGAATGAAATCCAAATGGACCCTAAGCCTTTAAACAGGTGCAAAAAGTTTATTGGGCAACTGTAGAAACGGGATGTAAATTATGTCCTATTATATCGTGTTTGTCACCGTGGCGAGTCGGTGTGTAGTTGCTGAACCCTTACATAACGAATGGATTGAGGGAAAAAAAAAGGGAAATAAAGAAAGGAATGGAAATAAAAGAAAAAAGTTTTATTTGGATAAAATTTTAATTTAAAAAAATATATAAAAACTCGATAACTTTTGTTTTTTTTTTAATAATTCTCACTTCCTTAATATCTCAATTTGATAAAAAAACATTAAGGAAAGTTTATTTTTATAAAAAATTATTATATTAATCTTTTTATTAATACTAAAAATTTAGTAAAAAAAAACTAAATCATATTACAATTTTTTTGAAATTTTTTTGAAGTCATATTTTTTTGGTAAAATAAATTTATATTAGACAATTATATGATAATGTATTATTAATTTTTATTTGATGCAAAAAAGATATATAATTCGTTATAATATTTTTATGTAATTACATTTTTTATATTTAATAGCTTTATATGAATACATCGTCAAAGTGATAGATGCTAAAATTTTGACAATAACCAAAAAATTCATTAATGCATGGTTGTAAAATATTTTTTATTTCACTTAATTAAAAATCATTGATATAATAATAATTTTAAAATCAGATAAGATAGTAAACATATCATAATTTAAAAGTACTCTAAAATCACAAGTAATGAAATGTTATAATTAAAAAAAATTATTATAATAAATCATTTCTTTTTTTTTTTTACTTTTTATCCAAACAATAATTATTAAAATTCTTTTATTTTTTTATTAATTTTAATAATAAAGCAGCTCAACTTTAGATTATTAAATTTGGCTTCTCTTCTTCCCAAGTTTACGGTCTCGAACACAGAGAGCAGATTGCGAAATAAAAAGTTTATGACCACATTTAAGCACAATGAGTGAGAATATGGACGAAATATGGATTCAGAAACTCGTATTTCGATTTAATGGAATCTGGCCTAATTGGATTTCCCTCATTCCTCCACTCTCCAATATTTCGTTGCCTAAAACAAAATTTTTTTTCATATCAACCTCCGTTACCAGAAATTTCAGATGCAGTGAGAGTGAGGGTGGTGGTGGTGGCCTGGGGATAGAAAGAATGTTGCTTATTAATGAAAAAGGGAATAGCTTTATGTCCTTTCCTATCAGAAATTTCAACATATGGGCTCTCCAATAATCCCTTAGCTTACTTTCCTAACATATGCTTCCACTGCAGGCTATTTTCATGAAAAGCTATGGCCATTTTGATCGGAACTGAACCATGACAAATCCACCCTTTCATAAAAAATAAAACTAGTTAATGCAGCATGGATGAGATGAGAGTGGTAAGCAGGTTCCTGCTTCAGTGAATTCAAAGCTTCAACTAGAGTATGAAAGAAAATGAAGTTTTCACTCTACAATTTTGAGGCTCCCACAGCATTAAACTCCTGTCATTCAAACACAAAATTTAAGATGATCATGTGCAAAGTTAATGGTCACCCACGCCATACTACATATGTCAGTTTTCTGAAACTACACACACAGCTATGATTCCAATTTGAACACCAGACTGTCTACCGCCGTCGCCTTCAGCAGAAGTCTTTCAAAAGCTTCGGCATTTGATCATTTCAGCAGAGGGCTTTGCTACCTTAACTCTTAAGCATAGATGTAAAAACAAAACTAATAGATATAGTAACTGCTTACCATTCGACATACTAATTATGGAAGGACATATCTAACATCCTCAGCATTCTAAAATTAGAAAGATACCAATTTTATACACTTACTTTCCAACTCAAAATATACCATAGTGTAAACAAGACGAATACGCTAAAATTAGGTTAAACCTCCCATAATAGGAACCTTTCCTTTTCCCTCTTAACCTGTTTCTCTTACTCTGCATCCACACCAAGATTAACATGAAGCTCTTGTGGACAAAATAGAGCTGGAGTTAATCAGACACAAAATTAACTCTTTATCGTATTGTTTAACATACCAAAGTATGATTTGTACCTCTGTGCTAATCCAAACATGCCAAGTGTACCACCAGTGTGAAGCATCACCACATTGGCATCTTCATGTGCACTGGTAATTTGTGTTGCCATTTCCCAAGCAGCTAAAGTATAGACAGGATCCACTAGAATACCAGTTTGCTGTGCAATTTGCTGGCAAGCGTCTATTTCCCCTTCCAAAATGTTGCCAAATCTATTAGAAAGAAAGTGCAAAAACGAAATCCAAACAGATTCAGCTGGGGAAAAAAAAGCTACCCTTTTAAGAATAAACAATGATACAGATACTTATCATTGAACATTTCTTTTATTAAGTTCATGATTTTTTATAGCATTAGATTGTTTCATAGATGCTCCTGCATCACTTCAATCACTGGTGTGAATTGATTGAACTTGGCAATTTGTAGGTTTAATTCTTTGCCTCTTAAAGATGTGTGTTTTCATTGCTTCTCCCTTCATTCATCCAAGTAAAATGATCCAGAAGAAAATACATACGTACACCCTTAAATCTAAATCAAATACAATAAATTGTATTTAATGGCTAAAAAATTTTGCCTTCTTCAAGGGTCTTCATGACTCTGCAGCATCACCAAATTTTAAATCATAAAGAAGGAATAAATGAAAACCTAGGGCTCTCAACACTTGATTAGAAAGCCTTGTTCAAGCCTATTTTTTGTCAGTCGATACCCTTCTGGATCTCAGATTTCTTTGTAAACACATGAAAACATACTCATCTTTCTTTACCACATATTTACAGGTCCCAAATTGTAATATTATATATATTAATATTCTCAGTAAAAGTTGTCTATCATAGGTGATGTCCCTCATATATCAAAGGAGGTTAGAAACTAGCTTATGCAGAAGTTAAACTATAAGCAATAAAAATTAAAACAGAAGGAGAAGTAATTTACTTTCTCGGATGGCAACGGTCCACCCAGTGTACAATTCCATCATGTGATCCATTTAGTTCGTGACTATCAAGAGGAAAACAAAATTGCCTCTTGCATTCAGAAATTAAGCGTCTCTCTTGCTTTCTGTATGCATCAATTTTGTCAGCCAACATTACTGCAGTAATCTTCCATGGAAGCCTGGGAAAAGGCAACAGCAGCAGTGACTATTGCTGCCATACTGTGCTTCAATTTAAAAATTCATTCCATAAGATGGTAACATAATTATTTGAGAATTTTAGTCTTAACCAGAATGATATATGAGAAAACAGCACACACCCTAGACACAGGGCACCAAGACCTAAACCAACAGCAGTTGTCCCAGTACCGGAATCCACAACAAAGTTGAAAGCCCTCTTTCTTCCAAGTAAATGGTCCTGGGATAAGTAGTCGACCAGACGAAGCAGACCTATATGAAAGAAAACAATTCACTGAAAATCAACAAATAACAACTTAAAACCTGAAATTGATAAATTAGAGGCATACAAAGGGATTAAAAATTTACAACCTCAAGTGCATCACTAAGGGAATAAATGGGGAGGGGTGGTAGAAAAAACCCTACGTTTTTTAAACACTATGCCTTTCATAGAAATCATAACCTGAAAGCAGTGAGACTAAGGAGACAGTTAAAGTTTAAAGACTCATATTCTCGAGGCCATCAGTCATGAGTTATCATTATCAACCAGAACAATGTGAAGAATAAGGCAATCCATTTTCACCTGCACAAAGCTCTAGATCAGAATTATCTATGATCAATTATTTATGAATATTACCAAAACAATATCCTTGAAGATAAGCAATTTAATATTAATGCAAGAATAACATTGTCTAGATAGTTTTAAAACCTGTTTCTGTGATGACTGGGCAACATTGAACAGTAGAAAAGAACATGGATATATTTGAGAAAAATATTAAATGATGATTAATGCAAATACAGAATCTACATTTTTCTTTTACCTAGCAATGCAATGGCATCTCCTGCACCTTCATTGACTATAACAACCTTATTTGAGTGGCTCTTGGTGCCTCTAGGAGCATCCATTTGCACAAAATTTGAACACTCAAATGTCTGGGTCGTCATAGATGCATCAATAATATCATTGCAATATACAACATTGCCACTATTGCCTGCAACTATACTAGCATGTGTCTGTAGCATTTTTTCCCTATGGGCATAAAAAGATCTCGGAACATATGTTACATTTCCATATATTGTTGAAATCAAATTATAGCCAGTCAGAATTTCTGGCTTCTCTCCTCGTAGAAGCAAGTGTGACTTCAGTCCTCTCTCTGCACAAGAAACAGCTGGAAAACACACAAATGACTGATATGAAGCAAAGTTATCACCAACACTTACTAGAATTCTGTTAAAGCAAATTTGAGAGAAATTTACTCTTATAACTGCAACAAAAAATACCTACCAACAGCTGCTGCATGTGCACTTTGACAACCACCACATGTAACCTAGAAAAGTTCACAATAAGAAATTAACTGGTCTCCAGATTTTGCAAGAAAGAAAAGGGTATTGGTTGATAATAATTCACTTGAAAGAAAAAGAGGGAAGGATGGGAGGATAGGAGCATATAGGAGAGACAGCACAGTTAAATCCTTCTAGACTCTTGAGGTTGTATGTGCAGTGAGATATTTCTTATCCTAGTAATGCAAACTACCAAATGAAATCATCTTCTCTTAAAACCATAATAGCTTTTATCCTCCAGCTAACAAAGCCAGCACCCAGCACAAAATGTTGACCACAAGTATCTGTTCCCTAAGATTTTTTGAAAGTACAATCTATTCCTCTATTTGTTCCCTAAAATTGTACTTTCATAAAATTTTAGGGAACCCATTAGCCTAGTGAGCCCTTAAATGAACATTAGTCAGCATCCAATAAGCATATACTGTCTAACATAATAGAATGGTAACAAACCTGCCATTTGTCCCACCAGTTGTGCACAGAGATACAAGGGAGTTTATAGAAGTGAGTTAAGAGAAAAACTAACATGTGGAGCCAGGTAGATAGTGCATATCCATATAACAGACAGGTAAATCTAAATCCACTTGCCATCTTACATGTGAAAGGAACACAATCTTACCACATCAGTCACACCATGATCTTCAATTAGAGGAAGCAGTCCATCCAGTTTTCTTGCTTTATTCCCATTGATAAAGGGATGCAATAAATCATCCCTCACGATATAGAATGACAAGCCTTGATTGTCCTCAAACATCTTGTTGCCAAGGTAAGGCTGCTTATTGTTTAAGAAAGAAACATTACTAAATGACCCCCCTCTGTTTTGCCCTTGTGTCGAAGAAACCGTAATTTGATGAACTTCAGTATCAGGACGGAGCAATGTCCACTTTCTGTCAAGCAATTTTGACATGAACTCTTCACCATTTAGTTCGATGTTGGGAAGTGCCTGGTGGTGGGGGAAACACTGATCAACTGTTAGTCTGAATCCCAGAGAACTACAATAATAACATGGAAGATGGCATCAATAAGCCATAGAAGTGTGCATTATGCTTCCTTATCTTAAATGGCTACACTAGCATAGCATCAATGGCAGCCAGAAACACAGACAACCAAAGGACAATGGAAGGAGAGAGCAAGGAAGGAATTTTTACTTTTGTTGGAGAGGCGTGGAATAGGAATAAAAACTTTAATGGATGCATAGCAATAACTTATTGACTACTTCAACCATGGTTGGTGCGATACCAAGTTGCCATGACATATAAAGGGCAAACATCAAAGCATAGTTGTAGGAAGACTATCCAAGTTCTAAAACCATACCATTGCAAAACTTGCATTACATATCACTATATTCCTTTTCAATTCTCATAAACTGCCGCTAACTTTCACCAAATCTTCATACCTATATTTCTCTGACTCTAATTAACAGATGACAGCATTTAACAATTTTAGGGAACAACACTGACAATGACATTATTTACACTGATGAAGTTGAAGGTAACATATCCGCCAGATTAAGGACATCAATGAAAACCATAGCCCGTGAAGGAAACTAATCCATTCCAAATTGTTTACAAACTGTTAGATGTATCAACATGTCATAAGTTGTTTAGAAATTTTCATTATTCTAACTCTTTTCCTTCCTGTCAAAGTGAATGCAAACTACATTACTAACACATTACTTACAAATCCCAACGACAGCACTCAACAGCAACCGTAGAGCATCAAATTTACCAGGAAAAAACCAAAACACTACAGCCAACCAGCTGACCCAAACCGATTCTACTAAATAGAAAGTTTAACAAATATTTTGACAAAGAGATATAAAATCTCAAGCAGATATTAAGAACAGAACCTGATCTGAATGGAACCCATGTTTGTTGATAGCTGTGAAGGCAGTTTTAGTGGGTACACAACGAAGTTTCATTTCAGGCAGGCAGCTCCCTCAAATAGCTGAGACCCGGCGAGGACGCTTCTGTTTGTTGTCTCGTTTTATTATTTTTTACCCTTTAAAATTTAAAGAAAAAAAAAGTGTCGTACACAAAAAGTTTTATTTGAGATGCCACGTGTCCCAGTGTGCCGTCTGTACAAAATATTTTGGGGTTTATCGTTCAATCCCAAAACCCTTGAAACAGAAATGGAATAATCAACTTCAAGCAATGGCTTTACTGGCCGGAGTGTCGCCGGAGCCTCTGTCCACATTGGTCGGAACTCCGAGAAGCTGAGCCTCCCATCTCTTCAGTCCAAATGAAAACTGACGCGGAAGGCTTCTCGCTGCGTTTCTCAAATCATCAGCGAGGACTTTTCCCTCGGGGCTTAGGTACCATGTCAGCCAAGCCCTCATTCTCCTTGTTAATCGGAAGGTAACATGGAAAATGAGTAACTTAGTTTTAGTCGTTGTTAATTTTAAAAGGTGAAGACTTTTTGGGGCATTATTCTTGGCTGCTTCGAATGTAACTTGGAGTCTGGACATTTTGGTTTTTGGCAGATTATTGATATAAAAGACACTCTATCATTGTTCTTGGAATTGCAGATACTAGGAGATAGGAATTTGAAGAAATTAGCGTTTTCTCATGTTGTTCACAGTATTAGAAGAATGAATAAGAATCATAAGAACGAGACTAAGAATCGCGCCCTCCAGAATATCTTGTTTGCATTATTGCAGGTTTTTAAATGATGCCATTTGAATTGGTGTTTTCTTGTTTTAAAATGTTGGGCTTTTTTAATATATATATATATATATATATATATATATATATTTCTGTGTCTTATAGCAAGAAGATGAAGCAAGAGCAAAAAGCTCTCTTATTACCTTACGTGAACTTAATTGAAGAAAGGTATGGTTTGATGACAGAACAGCAAATGCAATTTGTATGGCAGTTTTCATTCATCATCGAGGTATGTGTGATTTTTGTATGGTTGATATCTGTTGTTTTGCTGTTGAGTTCAAGCGAGTACAATTTTTGTATTCAAATTTTGCAGAATAATGATTGCCGTGCTTTTGTTTCTCCTTGATTGTGGGAAGATTGAATATGATGATGAGATACTGATGCTTCAAGTAGTGAAGATGACATGAGTCAAAAATCTCAAGTTGTCATCAGCAAAGATATCGTCTACAAGGTCATTTGCATCCTGTGATTCATTTTCTGTTTTTTCTTTGAACCACTCTTGTATGTTATTATTGCCAGCTAGGTGAAGTTTGCTTGATTCTACCAGGGGTGGTATGCTTAAAATAATCTTAGCTTTTTTGGATTTAGGATGATATAAATAAGTTTTAGGTAATTGAAAAAAAATCATAAATATGGCTGCTGTATGGAATTTCAATGCCCAGCAGTTTGTCTCTCGTTTTTTTTCTTTAAGGAAAAGTAGTTGCTTTCAGTTTTTTGTTAAATTATTAGATGTATGGTTGGCTGTTTAAATTTTCAGGCACACCATAAGGGTACAGCTGCTAGCAAGAAGAAAAAGAAAGCAAAACAACAGTGTGCTATTCGGATCACGAAAAGACAGCAAAGGCTGTCATTAGAAAGTAGCACTTATAGTTATTATTCACCTCTTTACCATATAATAGATGCACATGTTTTGCCTTCTTCACACATTTTATTAGTTGCATTTACTGTGATATCGTATTTGAGAAAGCTTAAATTTCTGTTTTGCACAGGGATTTGTAGAAAAGCTATTTTCTCGCCTTCATACCAGCAATGAACGATTTGAGGTGAAAGCTTTTCCTGATGTTTCTAATTTGGCAGATTTTACTCTGCCTTGTGTGACAGATTCAGCCTTCTGTAGCAGTCATACTATTTTCATTTTCTCTGTCCTACCTGACTGTTTAGTTTTTATATTTCTTTGCCAATTCTGTAACATTAAATATCTAACTGCTTGTTATAAAATTTTTAGGTTAGGTTTATATTTAGTTTGCTTTGACACATTGATTAACTCTTACATCAAATTGCCTTACTTTTTCCGAGTCTCGTTCTTTATCTTCAGGTTAAAATGATACTGTTGAAAGTGATTGCTAGAACAGTTGGGATTCACCCTGATATTATCAAATTGCTACCCTTTTCTTCAGAGATATGTTCAGGTATGGCATTTTTATTTAAGTTTTCCATTTTAAATAAAATATGATTACCCTGGTTAATAGGAGCCAAATATATTCTACTCTGCAACCTCATCAAAAAGATATCACTTACTTGCAGCAGCAGTTCAGGCCTGTCATGATATGGTATGATTTTCCATTTGATTGTTTGAATATTTCTTTCCAACTATTGGCTTTTTTATTCTCTTCAGTCTTTAGTTTTCTCTTATTTCCTGCCACCAATTTAATCTTGTTTAAGCAGGTTCCTCCTGATGCAGTTGAGCCATTATTCAAACAAATAGTAAATCAATTTGTACATGATCGATCACGTCCAGAGGTACTGCTTATGACTTAAAAGCATCTTTATTTATCATTTTTTTACTGATTGATTAAAATTTTGCTCGATGTTCTAGGCCATTGCTGTTGGACTGAACGTGGTAAGGGAAATATGTTTGCACATGCCATTGGTAACTATCTATGTCGTTTGATTTTTGAATCCACTGGCTCACACAAACACAATCCCTCCCCCAGCCACTCCACCCCAACAATACACGGACACAAAAAACTTAAAATTCACCCCTTAAAAGAATTCCTTTAATATTTGTCTGACATATTTGAGGTGCTTCTTTTAAAGTGAATTATTTGCTATAATTTACTAATTTTATTTCATTACTGCAGTCACTTATGCGTACTGTATTGCTTAGAATCTGTTAAAACAGTCATTTCTTTCTTGCTACTTGTTGACGAGTGAAGATTAGCTGCAAGATCTCACATTGTATAAAAAATCACATGAGAAGGCTGTTTCTGCTGCAGCTTGCTCACTCATTAATTTGTTTAGAGACATATACCATTGTCTTTCCATACTTTTTTTCTGTGCGCATGCCTGCTTCCCTTCTATTTTCTTTGTTTTTTCATGTACCTTTACTACATATTTCTCTGCTTGTTTTATTGTCAGATTTGCCCTTCACTGCTCGTTAAGGACCGTGGACATCCAGTGGACGCCAAGGCAAGACCAAAGGTATACGGAGAAGTCAATGTCCTCAGCAATGTTCCTGGCATTGAATTATTGGAACATGAAGATGAAATTAATGACACTGAGGATGAAAAATGCCAGTACACTGCAGATGGTGGAAGTGAGGATAAGGATATAGTGGATGAAGAAGATGATGAGAATGAAAGTATTGATGAAGATGAGAGCAATATTGATGATGACAATGCGGAGGACTAGGTTGAGACAGATGAGGTGGAAGCTGAAGAGGATAATGACTGTGAAGAAGAGTGTGGTTCTTCTAGACCAGGTGACAGTGCTGTAGATGATGGAAATGAAGATCAAAAGTCAAAAGCAAAAAAGAGAAAATTGTCTGATTTTGAGGGTCAACTTATTGCTGCTGATACAAGTCTTTGAGCTTTAAAGAGGTTGGCAGAAGCAAAAACGAGCCATGCTTCGACAGACTCAAGAAAGATGAGCATTTACAAAGGATAAAGGAACTAAAGGTATGTTAAATTTTTTCTAACATATGTATAAGCTCAAGTTGACGCAAAGGTGTGACCTTGTTCAGGTCTAGAAGTTAATTCATAATTGTTTAATATACTTTGTTAACACTTTCTATCAAAAGATTTATACTCTGTTGCACTAGTTTGGACATAGTAAAATCATTTATACTTTGGGCTTTCTTCATTATGTTATCAGGCTAAGAAGGAAGCAAAAACTGCATTGGCTCAACAAGGGTTTAAAATTCCAAGTTCTGATCAACTAAGTTTTAAACAAGTAGATCCTGCAACCCTTGAAGTATGTCTTCTCTGTATCTACGGGCAAATACTCTTTTCCTAGAGTTTTCATTTGTGCTCCATAGGCCCATGTTCATCTCAGGCTTAGCAAGGAGGAAAGACTGGCATCAGCAAAAGCATGAAGGGAAGACAGAGGGCAGTACCAGGCTCAAACTGCTTTAAACAGAAAAAGGTATTTTTGTTGCCTTTTCAATTTACGACCCAGTTTTCCAGGACTTTAGCAATTCAATATGGTAACCACTTTTAGCTTTTCATGATTCTCTGCTTGAATTTTAGTTTGAATGTTTGGTCCATTTAGATGTCTTAACATGATACAGCACCTTCTATTAAGATGTTTGTATCTTGTTATGTTTTCCTTCTCTATAGATAGTATTTAAGATTTCCCTTATAAAAACTTGCCCATTTTAATCCTAGTTCAGTTGGATCCTTCATTTAATTTAGACCTTTGACATGACAATTTGTGTATATATATCGCATTCATGTCTAATCAAATATATCTATAAAATATAAGAAATTATCGTGTCAAATTTATGTCGACGCATTAAACTTTTAAATTGTGTTGCTTTCATTTTGTTTTTTATTGTTTTTGTGTCTGTATATCATATTTAAGTTATCATATCTAATTTAATTTACTGTTGTTTATCATGTTTCTTTCATTTCTGCGGTGTAGACGGCCGGTTTAAGCAACCGTCAGAAAGAACAGAAGAAGTATATGCCTTTAGCTGCAAAGAAGGCAAAGGCTCAAAGATCTCGACAAGAGAAAAGAAGAGGCAACGTTCTGGCAAACTGTTTCGGCGGGAAGAAAGCTTAGAAATAATGAACACACGGCATAGTATTTCCATGGAAAACACTGCTCGAGTTCAAAGCTGATCGTCGGTGTTTTTCTCTTTTCACCATACGACCATAATGTTATTATGGCGTGAACAGGAGAAAAAGAAGAGGAAAAGAAATCCCACTTTTATTTTCTTCCCTTCAAAATGTAACGTGTTGCAATTTTAAAACTTACTATCGTAATCATGCATTTTTTTGTTAATTGTCATAAGTTGTGTACTACTATTGTTGGCAGTGCTTATATTGCAATTAAGGGCTGATACTAAATGCAATGGTCCAGCAAATTCCATGGATCTCCCAAAATCTTTTTTGGATCAATCATTCAAGTTTTAAGCACGGTTCTGGGAATCAATCCAGCTCACATATTGTTTACCTTTCTCAATTGTAGCCAGAAACAGAATCTGCTCAATCTCAACCAATTAGATATCGAACTCAAAGATAGGTGGTTCCTATCCCTTTGATAAGAATAGAGGGAAAAAAAAACATAAGCAGATCTCCTTGGTGTTTTCATGGATTACTGCCCAGAGGAAGCGCAACTGAAAACAGCTGCCTAGCTACAGAACATAATAGAATTTAACACAGCAGTTGCACCCCAAATAAGCTCATTTATAACTTAAGCTACATCTATTTTCCCGAGTCTTGGCATAATCGTCATCATCATCATAGACAATAAATAAATAATAGCAAAAATAAGCCGAGAAAGACAGCTTACTCTTCGTCAACCAAACACGAGGGTGAATCACTACTCTGGCCAAATATATCAGGGATTCCATCCCAATTCCTTTTTTCTCTTGCTTCCCAGTATCCTCCAACATATCGATAACAACCATCTTCATCCTTCCGAAACCATCTTGGCTGCCATCCTCTCTCTTGTAATTTCCTAGCCTGAATTACAGTAAAATAAATAAATGATGAGAATCTAATTAAAGCTCTTAATTTCTTAATGAGCAGAGCATAATGATAATATATTACGCCAGAGAGTCGAATGGAGTTAGTTTGGATCCTTAATCAGATTACCAAGGTCTCAGGATCATTCTAATTTATTTGTAATTTACAAAAATAAAACAAAGACAAAAACGATAATCAATATAGTTTAAGCTAGCTGAACAAACAAACACTCTTTGCCAAAGTTTGCTACTATATTTCTCAAGTACCAATGTAAGTCTCAGAACCTATGGCCGTTACTCGTTGAACTCATAAATAAACACCATAGGAGTACATACCTGTCTCTGTAACTGTTCCAACCTCAGCTTCTCTGCATTTGCCATTTCATATTCTCCATTCTCTAAGTGTCTCTGGTCCGGCCTCAGTCTTGTGTCCGTTGGAGGCAATTTCTCCAATAAACCAGGAGTCAATTCATTTAAGGATATTGCAAAAGGGGTAAGATTGTATCTTGTCTTAGTAACAGATTTGTGTCTCTCCCACAGCAACTTAGCGTCAGTCATTGAATCATACCCTTTTGGCTTCACAGTAGGATCTCCCAGCACATAATACATTGCTTCATCCCATTTCCCAACCAACATGGCCACCTTCTCTCCTGTCCTGTTGTCTTGCACAAATCCATGAACCTGAAATTATCGAGAGAAACCATCAATTTATTCTTTCTTCTAATTATGGTTGATCAGAACAGTGAATAATCACCTTAAGACTTCAGTTTGTCATTTTGATTGATGTCAACAAGGTTTTCAAACACCTGTGAGCAAATTTGGCATAACAAGGAGCACCAAAATTTCTTTGAGTGTCATTTTACGAAAATTCTGCATGTTTTTGGCCAACTGAAACCTTTTAAACTCAAATTTTCTAATATTTCAGGGATAGAAGCAAATACGTAAGACAACGTGAAACAAAATCTGAATTATTGTTTAGAACTGCTTCCAAGTTAGAGGTATTTGTAAGAGTGGACATTTCTGCTAACACAGCAAATCGAACATGAACTTATCCACCTATATATGGAAACTAAGGCAAAATATGGAAAATACTTGATGAAACTTGTTTTGCCAATTCATTAAGGTGTATGACCTGGTGGGGATTTCGGTCTATGATAGACTGCTCCTTGAAATTGAGCTTGCAAGAGTAACTGCCACTGCCTCTGATGCGCATGGTGCCATAGTGATCACAATAAATTTTACCAAGAATAATATTATATATGGAAGTGGTAACTTTGCTCCACTGAAAAGTCTCTCCATCCTCAAACTGCAAGGTTAGCACGCCAACAGGATCAAGTTGAATGGATCGTCCCCAAAATTTGCCTTTGAGATTGGAGTCTGCCCAGAATTTCCATCCTCTACCGTCACAGTGACAAGCAACAATCGTTGGGTGGTGACTCACCTGAATGCAAGCAGCTTGTCAAACCAATTGTTAGATCGAATGTCATATGACTACACCCTGGCCTATTTCAGCAAAATGAGCTAACAGAAAGGCAGTTTGTTTATCATTCCATCAGGGATTTTTCATTAATTCAGCCAAAAACCAGCTAATCCAACACAGTAGTAGGCTTAGGTGAGAAGAATAGTATACCTTTTCAGAGAAAAAATGAAGTCCTTTATCTGGATAGTCAGCCTCATAGGTCTCCCCCAGAAGAGGGTTGAAGGGTTTGCACTGCCGACCTTCTGTCGATGCATAGCCAGATACAGCAAAAGCCGCAACATTTAGAATTCTCATCAAGTCATTTTCCTGCACCATGTTAACAATCACTGGCAATTAATTATGATGTAAATAAAGTCATTAAAAAGCTGCAATAAATTCCTTGTGCCTAGAACCTAAGGAAACTTAAACACCATGGCAACCTTTCGACATGTAGCACCAAAGAAAATAAACAAGACTTTATTTCTGGACAAGTTAGAAACAGTCACAGAACGCCAAATGCCAGAATCTTCCTCTTTACTGTCTAATAAACCAGGACATATAATAACCAAGAATTGAATTAGGATTCTACAGCTAAAATTTTAAAGTATGAAAGAATGAAACATCTTGGAAAGAAATGCATCAGAGTCTTTTCCGGATATTCCATAGATATTACATAGCATTCAGTTACCATATATTAATAAAATGCTAAAGACGCTAGGTCATGTAGTCTCCCTAGCACAAAACCTCTCTTCAGTAAGGCATTCTATCCAACTAATCAAGCAAAAGACCACATACAGTAGAAAATATCAGAAAGCAATGTTAGTGCAAGACATGCAGAAAGGCATTCGAGAAAAAAGGTGGAGCAATGTTAGATCAGGCAAACCTTTCTGTTGTGGTTCATCTCCCCTAAAAGGTTCAGATTATTCCTACCTGATTTTAGAAAAAGTATAAATCAAGTATATGCATGAAAACAACAGGATATTTTTTGACTATGGAGAATTGATTTGCTCAGATCCATTTACATCTTTAGTCTCGTAAATAATATCTTTAGGGGAGGGATATTCTTACACTAGTGTAAGTCTTACACTTTTTTCCATCCTCAGATCAAAATGACTAAGATTAAAAATATTATTTTGCTCCAAATTAGTCATGGATTTAATTTTGATCCAATGGTCACAAAAAGTATAAGACTTACACTAGTGTAAGTGGATCCATACTCGTATCTTTATATTTATTCAAGATTCCAGTGCTAAAAGCCTTGGAGAGAGTACACAAAGTTTATAATTCAGTGACCGCTCTTTCAGATCTAGCAACCAAAAGCAAATTCAGGGTCATTCTTCAACCTGATGGCTTTACGAAGGCCAACCACATTTAACAAATATGATTAACCAGATCTCATAGACTATAACGCATTTAACGCTTATTGGAGCTTGAGAAGGATTCTAAACATCTTGTGTTTTCCCAATGTTTGATCAGTCTACTCTAACCCACAGAAAAGGTTTGAAGAAAGGGTAGCATCTATATTATTGTCTGTGGCAAAAGTTCTGAAAGCAGGTAATAGGCAAAAAGCTCAAGCCCCAACAGAAATAGGTGGGACTAATGTTAATTGCAGAGCAAGAGTGGTTGCAGTAGTGCAGCTTTGTGTAAATAGCACATACTAATAAAACAATAGCTCATGGAAAGCGGAAGGTTGCCCCTCCTAAACAGCAACGAAAGCATTCAAATCTTAAAATATTTCACAGCAGCAACCAAGGACAAGAAAATCAAGCTTCTAAATTCATTCTCAGGATTATGTACACAGCAAGTTTCCTGACAAATCCAACCAAGAGCAAAATAGTTAAAAAGTAAATGATAGTGCACATACAAAAATCTTGTTGCATAAGAGATAACTGATAGGAAAAAGGATCTTTACATTATTTCTTTCTTTCTCTTTCCCCATTGTTTTCTTGTTCTTTCTTTTTCCTTATTTGGGTTAGACGAGAACCAAACAGTTCACGAGTCAATGATACATGATAACCATCAAAATTTGCTAAATAAATGCTAATGATAAAGGAGACCAGCTTCAAAAAAGCTAAAAGCCTAGAAAGTGTACAGGCAACTTCTAATAAGCTAATCTACGTAAGGCCGGAAAAAAATCTACTTGGATTAAAATGATACTAGCAGATCATGCTTTAAAACTTCTTTGCCACAAAAGAAAGCAGAGCTGAGGACCTGACCTGCTTTCCCCATTCCAAGGCTCGATCAACCAAGTATGAATACTCCAAATCCTCGAAGCATTTCTGCAGTGAAGAGAGTGGCTCATTAAAATACACAGGAAGACAGACCCCAGATAAATCCTTTCCAATATTGTCCTTGATAATAGACCACAATCCAACGGGCTTCTCTTTCTCCTTTGGTTCTGGCAGGTTATCCCTCCTTTTGACATAAGGATATTGAATGATCCTGATTTCCTTTTCTGGCCCACACAAATGATCAGAAAAGAAAGCATCTTTATCATACATACAGTCATTTCCAGTTTCCCTATACCGATAGGAACCACTTCTTAGAGCTTCTGAAGACAAAAAGTCATTTGTATCAAAATATATTCCATCATCTTCATCTGTTTCAACATCTACACCGTCCTGACTTTCATTATATGCATCAGAATCAGTTGCACTGCCTTCTGACATGACAGAGTAGAAATCTGCAACATAAGGAAGGGAAGAGAGTTGTTAAACTTCAAAATCTCTAGAACACCAAGTAATGCAAAGAATCTTGTCAAGAAACTTTTTCCTAACTGTAAGATGCCTCTTTTTTAAAGTAATGTAGCTAAATTTTCTTGCAGTCAAGCACGCAATAATAATTTACCCACAAATACTTCTGCAATAGTTAATCGATTTACAGACAGTATTAGTTCAGGAATAAAGGGGGAGTAAGAGGGGGGAGCAAGATTAATACTTAGAAATTGTTTATTTCAATTAAAAGCAAAACTAACCACTAAACCGTCTTCCTTGTCCACAATATGACTCACGTTCCTTTGTTTCATCTACTACAGTGGTTTCCAGCTCTATTTTCTCCGTCTGCAAACAAGTTAGAAAGGTACATTTCAAACCTCAAAAGCAAAAGCTTTCATCATTTTGACTTTCTTCCTATTCAAGAAAAGATTAATGTAATATTTTAAGACAAGTAAACAAATCTGAATATAAAATGTCAATGGAGAAAAAGGGAAAATGGCTCTGGATATTTGAGTAATAATCACATATATCAACATTTAAAATTAAGGGAGATGTTTTGTTACTTTACAAACCTATGAGAACTTCAATGAGCAAACTAGAACAGAAGGACAGGGTAATTTAGAACGCTGGTGAGTAAAACGTCTAATAATTTATTCATGCAAAGTAAGTTAATAACATACTAGCATATGTGTCCAAAAAAAAGTCAGGTGATTCTTGTATTGCTCTGTCAAATATCTTATTCTCAGGTCAAACACCATCATTGTGATCTGTAAGATTGGTAGAATACTGGATAATATCCATCAACAAGAATCAAACTACAAGGGTGTAGTGGAAGAAAGTTTAAAGAATAGAGGTCCATGCTATCTTCTTTCTTCCATATATTTGATTATTAAATCATACTATTCCACAATGGCAAATGGCATTTACCTCTAATTGCCGCAAAGTGTCCAGTAACATAATATGTTTACGTTGAAGAGTCTTGAACTTATTTTGCATCTCAGAAAGTTCTAAATGCATTATAGACTCGCAGTCTTTAATGACTGACTCGCCAATGCCCTCCTGTAATAACCGTGACCTTAGCTTATCAGTTGAGATGACAACATCCTCAGAAGGTTGAAAATCATTATTTGACAGCACTCTAGGCAAACGATCTTTAGCAGCCAGCAATGCCTCAATCCATGCAGTTCTGTCCTCTTTTGACAAACAACACAAATGAAGAGTCTTTGTACCTGTGAATATAGTAAGCCTTTTATCATCTGACTTGCTTGCACGAATTGAAGAAACCTGTGTATTAGTTTCCAAACTGTTTCAGTCATCTTTCCCCAAAAAATAGAATAACATAAAATTGTTGTTCGAAAGTAATTTTCTAGGACATCAACATAGCAATGGAGGGTAGCCAGACATGTACTCATTATTGAACCAGTGATATGAATCACGGCATTGCCTTTCCTTCTCTTGAAATGTACTTTTTCTATTCATTTTTTTTTCAAAGTATGTTTTAGCTTCGAGATGGGCATCTTAATTTTTTTAATTAAAAAAAGAAAAAGAGAGAGCTTTGAACTTGTATAGGAGTATTATGCTTCAGTAAAGTAGGCTAGTTTCCAGAGTCTGATTCTCATTTGAAATGATGGGAGTGTACATTCTTATTGGGGCTTTTTCCAAAGTGTTCATTCAGAGTGATGCAACTCCAAGGGAATGTCCGAAATTGAATTTGGATGTTTTATTGCCACGACAAAGGACAAAAGAAACACGTACGAGGTTAGTCTACCATATAGACTTTCTCCACATGTTAGTAATCTTACTATTAGAAACCATAGAAACAGACTTTCACAGAAACAAGTGCTTCCATCCATCAAAGCATGCAGCACAGAAAATTTTTTTAGAATGAACCCAAAAGAACCTTCTCTATTCTCATTAATCCTCCAACCTTTCTACGGACTCTCCCAGCTTCGATGGGTCCTCGCAAGTGGATCCATATAAGGAAAGTACTATGGAAGAAAATAATACTAAAGAATTTCAATATAAATTTTCTATGCACGCAATCCAAGAATCAATAACCACACATTTTATGATTTAATAAGTAAAAAAAGGGTTTATCGTCCGTATATTTTCTTTTCCTTTTAAAATACCAAAAGAACCGGCCCTTTTGCCACGGCAACAGAAAGAACACAAAACGCGGGACTGAACTGAGTAATAAAAGTAAGGATTACTAAGGAAGGAAGCATAACAACCTTCAAATGAATTTCACCGAACGGCTTGCACTGCGCTGCCGCCGAGTTAACCCGATTGCTACTCCAGTTAGCTTTTCTCATGTATCGGACCGAGTCCTCGCCGATTACTGGTACGCTCTCCCTCGCCGGACTCATCAAAATCTTATCAGGTCCGTGAACCTTATAATACGAGAGAACTCCGTCTTCCAACAGGAACCACCGCGACCTCCATCCTTTGCCATAATTCACCCATTTGTACAGAATCCCGGCGACTCCATGGACGGTGGTAACTTCTCCGATGAATGGCTCGTCGGATAATGCCGCCGAGGCGTGATTCGTTACCGACGGCGAGGATTTGTCGGTATCGGCGTTGATGGAGGAGACTTGAGAGGAGAAACTCGGTTTGGAAGAGTAGTTAACGGTTCTGACGGAAGTTTCGATGCTTAGCTGGCATTGAGGACCCGATTTGGCAACAACCGGGTTCGCCCGGTCACGATCAATGGATACCGGAGCAATGCAGCACAGAGGATTCATCCCTTTTCTGCTAAAAAAAATAACAAACAAATCTTACATTCAGCAAAACAACATCCGATCAGATTCAGATAAATGTCAGAGACATAGAGAAGCAGCAGCAGAGCAGGAGTAGGAGCTCCGATTGAGGAAGAGTCGAGTCGGATCCGAATGAATACCAGACCCGATCGGAGCTCGATACGAAACGTTTTGAAATGACATAGATACGGAGATTAAAGAGAGAGGGAAAGGAAAAATGGGCAGTTACGAGAAGTTATAAAGAGGAGGTGCAGTGCGCACACAGATCCATTTAAGGCAGTGGTCAGTGATTACAGTACAGGAGAGAGTGAGGCCTCGATGCGTAGGTTAAGCTAAACGCCATTAAAATTTAAATTTAAAATTAAAATCAAAATATCAATATAAATGCATGGAATTACCTTTTTTTTTAAATATTAATAATTTTTATTTTTGTGTTTTTTATACTTGGGGTGTTTTATGGGGTGACAATGATTATGGGGAGGAGACATCTACCGTGCGCATTTTTTGTGATTGAAGGAGGGCGGATCAGGGATGGTGTGTGGGGAACAGGTGAAGTGTTTGTCCGTTTGGGTAATGGCCCCGTTCGTCCTCATAATGACGTTTTTGTCCCTATATTTTTCATTTATTAACCGTGATGAGGGGTGTTGTGGTGCTTTGAAACCGGGTCATGATATCGTGTTAGTGCAGGATGGGATTTTGATGCCCGTAATAAGCAGCAGTGACCAAACCCCGCTGTTTTTCCCATTTTAAGAAAAATGATGATTTGGTCTGCCTCTTTACCGAGCTGAATCTGGAATTTTAAGAAGTTTTTTATTTTTTTTGAGTCCTTTTATGAGTGTATTGGTTTTGGAGTTAGAGATTTTTTTTATTTAATTTGTGTTTGATTTTCATCGTATTTTTAATATAATACAATTAAATTTATTGTATTATTGATTGAATATATATTAATTTCAGTAAATTTTATTTAATAAAAAAAAATTTATGAATTTTTTTTAATCTTTCTTATAGTAAATTTTATTAAATTTTATTTAGATAAATAGTGAAATTAATTTTTATGAGATAAAAAATAATAATAAAATTATTATAGTTGTAATTTCTACGAGTGAAACAAACCGCTTTATTAACGTCGTTAGCTCATGGCTATGCCTTTGTATTCCAAAAGCTCTGCGACTCTCACACTGGATCGCTTTCAAGAAAGCAGCATCTCAAGGGAAAACTTCGTCCGTGGACTATGGCTAAGTTACTCTATATGTCGATGTTAGAATTGACTTCCCAACTTACCTGACTTACTAATCTATAAAGCTCTGCTTGGAATTTTCATAAATTTCAATTTACTCCTGTATTAGCTTTTATACAACATAAATTTACAAAGAGCCATAACATGAAACGTCAGTCATGAAATAGGAATTTTTTTCATAAACAATGCACTACAATTAATATATATTTATCGATTATCAATCTTAAATTTTAAACAAAAAAAATAATAATGTCATTAATAGCTCATGTATTATATACATTTTTTTCAATATGATACCAATTAATGAAGTTATGAAATGCGACATGTGTGTAACACATCATCATGTCATGTCATTAAGAAATTGTTTATGATTTATACACATAGCATCCACATGATGCATGACAATAATCTAATGTCATGTGTGATTTTTAATAAAAAATATAAATTTATTTTTTAAAATAAAATAACAATAAATTTTATATATGTCATGTAATAAGATTTGTACGCATGATAAAAATAAAATAAACAAATTACAAATATTAAACTAACTCTTATAATAATAATTAGAGAAAATGGAATTGCATTACAACCATTATTCTTCTGAATTTACTAGAGAAAATTTTAGATGTGTTTAGATATGACTCTCAAAGGTCAAACAATACTACTACAACACCCTATGAAAATGGCAGATACTTGAAAACTACATATTTGATTAATTAAGAATATTAATACTTTAGATGCTAAATTTTTTAAATTTAAATGATTATCTTTTTAATAATTAAATAATTAAATAATTTTTATAAATATACTTAATTAGTTTAATATGATTTGTATAGTTTAAAATTTTTACGACCCATATATAAATAATTTTTCTTAAAATAGATTCATAAACAAAATATTGAAATCCTTTAAATTCACTACTTTGATCAGAATTTTCATGAAATTAAGGTTATATTTAATATATAAGATGATAGATAAGATAATATAATAATTATTTTATATTTTATTTTATTTGTATCTAATTCAAATGAATAGAATTATAAGAAAAATTATTGTTTTCTTGGTATAAGATGATTCAATCAACCTAAAGTGAATATGATTATTTTTAATTTATGAGATTAAACTTACATATTCTATTATCCTTAAAAATTATATTAATAATTTAAATTATATAAATTTTAAGATAAAATAATTTTGACTAATAAATAAATTATTCTATCTTAATTTTCACACCCATCAAACAGAATATAAGATAATATTATTAAATCTAATTTTATTTATTATATCACTTTATTTTATTTTATCATAATTTTATATATCAAACATAACTTAAATTTGTTATTTTTGAACTAATAAGCATGAATGATTTCTTTTCTTTTTTTAGTTGAAAAAGTGCATGATTGTTGCGGGTTAAGCTATCTTTATCATACTAGCTTTGGATTGTTAGGAAAATGGGGTCCAGTCCCATGTAAGTGGTTTTGGACCAAGTAAAGGCCATTGGCCTTGATCTTTTATTTTACACAGAGCCCTAGCTACTTAATAAAAAAGAGGTGGGGTTGTTTTGAGTGTGTGTCGACAACCAAGCAGAGAAAGAAGAAAAGCCAGGAAAAGCAGAGAGAGAAAAAGGAGAAGGGAGAGTTGGTTGAACGGAAGTCAATCCGTGGTCCGATTAAGTTGGAACCTTGTCAGGAGGTTTATAATTCAGAGTTCTACATTCTGAACGGTGAAGATCGGGTTTGAAGCTCTCTAGAAACAAATCCAGGGTGTATTTGTTGAGTCACTTATTTGGTGAGATTTCTCCAATTGTTTCTCTAGTTGTTGATTAGCTCTAGTTTTAGCTAGAGAAGAACTTTGTATAACTATTATTTGATAGTGAAGATTTTTCTGGTGGCCCGTGGTTTTTTCCCTCTACACTGGAGGGTTTTCCACGTAAATCTTGGTGTGCTTTATTTTTCCTGCGTATTTGATTATTGATTGTTGTCTATTGCTTCTGTATTGTTGTGATTATTGCTTCAGGCGCAACAAGTGGTATCAGAGCGAGGGTTATTTTGAGACATCGATACAGAAGCAACCCAGGATAGAAGTAAATTCTGTTTGAGATCATGGAAGGTGATACAGGTTCCATGATAAAATTGACAGCATCAAATTATTCAATTTGGAAGCCTATGATGGAGGATCATCTATACTGCAAAGATTTGTATGAGCCAGTATTGGGTGATTCGGCTAAACCAGCAGATATGAAAGATGAAAGCTGGAAGAAGCTAGGTAGAAAGACGCTGGCTACAATCAGAAAATGGGTTGATATCAGCGTGTTCCATCATGTAGCGCAGGAATCGGATGCTCACATTGTTTGGGAAAAATTGGCAGCATTGTATGAGAGAAAAACAGGTATGAATAAAGTTATGCTTGTTAAAAAGATTGCAACTTGTAAGTCTAAACATAAATCTAAGTTTAGAGGTAAAGTGAAGTGTTTCCATTGTGGTAAGGCTGGTCATATAAAACGAAATTGTAGAATCTTGAAGCAAGAGCGAAAAGATGAGAAAGGCAAGAGTTCAGATGATGGCAATGTTGCAGCAGTGAATTCAGATAGTGATTCAGTTACTTTGATTTGTACACATGGTGATTGTAATCATGTTAGTGATCCCGGCATTGAGTGGATAGTTGACACAGGAGCGGCATATCATTGTGTTCCTAAGAGAGAGTTGTTTACAACTTACAAAGCAGGAGACTTTGGTTGTACCAAGATGGGAAACAAGAGTGTGTCGCAGATTGTTGGGATTGGTGATATTGGTGTACAAACTAGTACAGGCTGCATGTTGACTTTGAGGGATGTCAGACACATTCCAGATATGAGAATGAACTTGCTTGCTATTAATGTCCTTGATAAGGAGGGATATGAAAGCCGACAAAAGAATGGACAGTGGAAGCTTCTCAAAGGATCTATGGTAGTTGCAAAGGGAAAATTATGCTGCACAATGTATAAGACATGGATGCAATTGAACGGTAACCAGGTAAATACCGTTGAAAATGATGCTTCAGCAAACTTGTGGCACAGGAGGCTGGCACACATGAGTGAAAAAGGGTTACAGGTTTTGGCAAGGCACTCTCTCATTCCCTTGACCAAAGGTATGTCTCTCGATTCATGTGATTATTGTTTGTTTGGTAAGCATCATAGAGTTTCTTTTCGTAAAAGTTCTCAGAGAAAAGAAAATAGATTGGAATTAATTTATTCTGATGTATGTGGTCCCATTGAGGTTGAGTCATTAGGTGGTAGCAGATATTTTGTTACTTTTATTGATGATGCTTCACGTAAAACTTGGGTGTATATGTTGAAATATAAAAGTCAGGTACTGCAGTATTTTCAAAAATTTCATGCCATGGTTGAAAGGATGACAGGGTTACCCTTAAAGTGTATTCGAACTGATAATGGTGGGGAATACACATCTAAAAGCTTTGAAGAGTATTGCTCAAAGCATGGGATCAGGCATGAGAGACAGAACCTGGAACACCGCAGCATAATGGTATAGCTGAAAGAATGAATCGCACCATTGTGGAAAAAGTCAGATGTATGTTGAGGATGGCAAAATTACCAAAGCCATTCTGGGGTGAAGCATCAACACAGCTTGTTATTTACTTAACAGGTCACCATCAGTTCCTTTGGGCTTTGACATTTCCAGAAAGAGTGTGGACAGGAAAAGATGCTTCATACTGCTCACTTAAAAGTTTTTGGGTGTAAAGCATTCATGCATGTACCAAAAGAGCAGAGTCAAAGCTGATAGTAAAGCTACACAGTGTGTGTTTGTAGATATGGTGATGAGGAATTTGGCTACAGGGTATGGGATCCAGTAAAGAGAAAGACAGTCAGAAGCAGAGATTGGTCTTTCATGAAAAAGAAAACCATAGCAGACCTTGAGAAAAATGAGAAGACTACACGAGTTACTGTTGAGTGTGATGTTTCAAACCGACAGGAATTTCACAGGAAAGAGCCACAGATGGTGAAAATGAGCCAGAAACAGAACTTGGGGATATGAATGAGCCAGCCATAGTTGGTGATGAGCCAGATGCTATTAGTTTTGAGCAGGGGGAGCAATCCTCTCTACCTGAGAGTGTTGAGCAGGGGGAGCTACCTTCAGCATCAAGTG